GATCACGCTAACAGCCTGTTATGAGTATTTACTGAAGATCAGTATTCGCTTTTTAAGAGTTTAACACAACAGAAACAAGTGAGTCACTCACATGCTGCCATATGGCCAAGTACTTCCATGCAGCCTGATGGGCACATGGGCCAAGGGAGGAGGGGATGCACTTTCAGCACAGCTGGATACGAGTGGTCTCAGTGAGGGGATATAGTTTTTCGCAAGTTGTGAAACTATCACACTACTGGATAAAGAGAGACCCTATTAATGTCATTATTGTCAGGAAGGAAATGAGGACAACTAGTCATGTGTCAAATGGGAGGGAGCTGAGAGCACTCTGAAATTGTCTGCAGCCCTATGAAAGGGTGGAGATGAAAATGGAGGTCCTGGAGTAGGAAAGCAAAGGGGGCATTGGATGCAAATCCACCAGAAAAACAACTTCTTCTACCCTTTCTGAATCACTATTCTAAATGGTACATACAGCCAGAGGACTGGTCCCTCCTGCCTTAGTTTGTTTCTGCTTCATACATGGAATATCTGTCTCCAAGGCCAAGAAGCTGTTGACATTTGAAAGTATCACACCGCAGTGGAACATTTTATATTTATGCCTCTGTTGAAAGCAAACTTATATCTCAAAGTCCCCAGAATCCACCATTACTTTCCAATTGCCAAAGCACGAGTTTTTGACGAGGGCAGAGTAAGTCAGCCAGCATGCTCTCCACTCCTAAGTTCAGCCAAAAGCTGCTTAACACATCAGTCTCTGTCCTATAAATCAGGGTAGACGAGGACTATAACTTATTTCCCCTTCCTCCCTCTTTTAGGAAGGACAGATTAATGAAAGTTAGGGAAACATGACAGTTATTAACAGGGATAAACATGATACTCCTGACCTTAACCACAGTTATTGGATCAGATGCATGTGCATGCCTCCATGCGCTCACGCACGTGTGTGGACATCACAGGACTCAGATTTTCCTGGCAAGTTGTCTGCTGCTGGCAAGATGAAGCAGTAACACTGCTGGCACAGAGATGCTGAGCAGAGGACTAACACAGGCCAGCAAAGTCAAAGTGAAATTAGGTTTCAAAGATTCCAGTCTTAATTTCCCCCTAAAATAGAGTAATTCTCATCATTGTTTCCATCACAGTAATATGTGATTTGGACAAGCAATCTGCAGTTGTTTTCACATCCAGACATTCTATATTGGTTACACTCTCCTTGGAGGCAGAGACACTGGCTTTGGCCAGCTGAGACTGCAGCTTTTGTATATATGATGCGCCTCAGGATGTGATGAAGTCTGCCATACTTAGGTTTGTGCAACTCTTAAGCTTCCAAAGCACTCAGTCAACATTAACTGAACATAAAAATTAATTAAATTTTAAAAAATTTAAGTCTGATACTACCAGCCTCAAAAACTCTCTTATTTTACAGTGCTAAGAAAGAAATATGTGTATAAGCCAAGGAAATGTTCTCATTTATGGCCAATCTCATGAGTTATTTATATTGCTAAATCCTATTTAGGTGCCTAAATAATAGCTGATTGCAAATATTTTTGTGATCATGGCCCTTAGACCCTAATCTCTGCCAAGACACAGCTGAAGGCTATAGAAAACCATCCTCTGACCTCTTTGAAAACTGAACAGTCATCAGTTAAAGAAAACGTGATTTTTGGGAAAGTTTCCAAAACTGCAAGCTAACAATGTCTGAAGCAGCCACTGCCATACTCTATAATGAGGAATTTTTCTTCTTACAAGGTGGTTGATGCAATGTGTCCTTCATTAAAATAATGCTTTTGTGCTTACACTTCCCACATAAACTTGCTACAAAAATAGCATCACTACTGATGCTTGACAAACAAGGAGTATTTATTTCTTAATTTTATGCTCACTCACATGCATCTTCATGTCCCATTTGCAGTTTTCTTGATGGAAGTGTCTGTGGCTATCGTATCTATTGATCACGTCAGATATGGAGATGATTGTTAGGAATTATGGTGGGGATAGTTCCTATGGTTTCTGCATTTCATGCAATAAAGTGTTAATATGAAAACCATCTGTACATCAAGGCAGAGAAGAAACTGCAATGTATAGTGCCAACTGCTTGTTTTTTCTCTTTGATAGATCCCTAATTAACTGACTTTTTTTAACTGATTGCCAAAGGGATATGCAATGCCTCTTCCTGAAAGACATAAAACAGAGAAGGGAGATGACATAAAGAAGGAACACACACCCTTCTTCAAGGATAGGTTTGAGCCTGAAGTCAAAGCAAAGAAAAGCTGAACTAATTGTTCAGCCAAAGAAAAGAAAATTCATGAGGTTCTTGGAAGCCCACAGATCTTTTCAGAGAGAAAGGAATCATCTGTTTCCCATATTCACAGGAGATAAGAAAAGTAGCAATGGGTTTCATTTATAGCAAGGTATTCTGGGCTAAGATAGCCAAAAAACAGTGAGAAGGGTTCACCACTGGCATAGAACATCCCTGGAGGCCACAGATTCCTCCTCATCATAGGCATTAAAGGGGTTTGTTAGACAAGCATGTCAGAAATGAGATGGGGAATGGTAATCCCATACTTACATGGGGAGATTGATTCACTGACTTCTAGGCTGGCTTTTCTAAATTTCCGACTCTTGCAAGAATAAGCCATGGGAGCAGAATAAAGAAAGATGACTAGAGATAATGCAGACTGATGAGTCTTTTGACTTTTCATTTCTGATAGGGTGGAATTAATCTCATCCTTAAAGTTTTTTTCAGCAACTCTATAGACATAGTGTAGATAAGAACAGCTAAATCAGGCATATAGATGCGTTTACAAAAGTAAAACAGACATTTCTGGAGAATAATTCACATGAATTGTTCGAAACATACACTTTCAACTGAGTTGACCAAACATCTACCATCTATCTTGTCAATAGATCTAAGTTTTATTTATTGGGAAAGAAACCTACTGTGAATGGCTCAGTTGCAGGTACCTACTCTCTTGATACTTAATGTTAGCCAAAATGAATCCCACAACAGGTTTTTGAATCCCAGAAACTTTGTCTCTTGCTTGCCTCTAGTATCAGGAGTTCTGAACCCAGATCACAAAACAAGGGCATTCTTCCTCACTGAGAAGTAATTCCCAAAAGCCCAGAACCCTGATTGTTTATGTATTTATTCTCTCTCCTTTTCTTTCCCACTTTTTAATTTTGCTGTTCTTTGCTTCTCCAGCTGCAACACTTAAACTGTTATTCTCATCATCTGTCTGAAATGGAAATACTGGAGGGACGTAGTGACCGACTAGCACAGTATTGCTTCATGTTGCTTTTCAGGGAAGCAGAGACAGGCTTTACAAGACTTGCACAGTTGGACAGCACTTCCTAATTATTGTAATGGTCTTAGATTAACTACAAGAAACACACAGACACATTACAATCACACAAATTTCATTTGCTAAGCAAACAAGTTAAAACTCTTTTTTTTTGTAATTCTCCAACACTTGCTCCAATCTCGGAGGAGGTTGGCTAAATGTATATCAGTTGGTACATCAGCTAAGAAGTTCTCTGATACCAAACTTCCCAAAAAAGAGAGAGCAAAATTGATGTACACTTTTCAAAGCAATTAGAGACATAGACTGGAATCTGATTTTCCTTCTTTTCTTCACTCCTGCAGTAAAAACAGTCAATGTTCACTGAATCTTTACCTAGTAGAAAAGCAAACACTACTAAAAATAGCTGAAGTTGTATTTTCAGTCTAGATTTTAAGCTTTTATATTTATTTTTTTTAAGCTCAGTATAATATGGTTTTAAGCACCAAAATTTAGAGAAAGATTGTGCTTACTCAAAAAGATGCTGATATGTCAGACAAATAAAGACGACGGAGATACAGGCTATGTCTGTACTTTGACACGAAACCTCCAAAAAACAGCTATGTACTTCAAAACGGGATTTAGACAAATCTGTTGTCAGTACTTCTTGAGTCAGTGATGGAAAAACTGCCCTGGGATTCACTGTGAGGAGACACTGGGCTGCTGCCAGCATCATCTTTTAGATAAGAGACACAAGTGAATCCAGACTATGCAGTCAACTACCTGGCCCTCCTCTCATCTAAGGCAAGGACTGCCATGCTGTCCACATAGCCACCTGGGAAACTCCTCTACTGCTGCTCAAATGTCTTCCTTACCTTTCTAATTCCCATCCTAAAGATGTATAAAGCTATTTTTCCACAGTTAGTACATTTTGCCTTGGAGGCAACTACAGCAATTTCATTACTTCAAACAGCAGATCTGGTACACTATTTGATTTTTATTTCCATATTATGAAGTCCTCTTGAGAAGGCAGAATATGTTCTTGCTTCTGTCTGTGCCTGATACCAAATGTCATTCCCTTGCCCAGAAGATACCTCTTTTTTCAGTCATTCTTTAACTCACAATGTTGGGTCTTCACAAGTTGCTGCCTTCTCCTCCTCACAAGCTAATGGAGCATTTGTCTGGATCCAGGTAAACCAAGAAGCCCTTCAGTTTCTCAGGTTAGTCAGAGAAATACAATTGCACCATCTTGAATTGTGAATATATAATTGCATCAAAAACAATGATGAAGCGGTAAAGTTAAACAAGTAGGCACATAATGACTATTAAATAGTTACTACTGTAAAGAAATCTTCTCTAACCAATTTTTCAGTCAAGTTTCTCAATTGTAAGGTTTGGGAGCCTGAGAGATTGTGATAAAGAAACATAATAAATTCAAACAGCAAATAAAACTAAACACTAAAAAAGATCTTACAAAAAAGGAGTTTTCCACCAAACACATACCTATTTCCTATGGTATCTGAAACTCAGGCTGAAGTCAAGTTTTATGCTGTATAGGCAGACAGCTTTATTGTTGCTTTTAGATCTTTTATTTTCCATATGTAGAATCAAAATATTTATTCTATTTTGGAAATCAATTTAGGTGATACAGTTTTAGCTTAATTAGCATGATATGGAAATCTGCCCTCTACTCTGGTTGTAAACATTTTGGAAAATATATCTTCTTACCACTTTCATCCAACAAGAAGTCATCCTGGTAACGGAACTTTTCTGGTCCACATGCAATAAAAATATCATCATCGCCAAAAAAATCTTGAAGGCACATCACCTGCAAGCAAAAAGGAAAGGAAGGCATTGTATGAAATAATCAGAATTGTAACAATAAATCCCTGTTTGCCTCCATCTCCCTGAAAATGCTTCACTTTTAATGGAATCAGCAGGGCTTCATCTCCAGATAAATTTCAAAGCTGTGTTCTGACCATCTGTTACAAGTGAGAAACAGTTTTATGAACACTGCAAGGAAAGATAAGACAAAAAGCCATAACTGTCAGATTTATTACATGATGCATCAACAGGGTTTGAGGTAAATGCCTTCTGTTTGCGCACAAGGTAGCATTAAGTAGTTAGTGGATAATTAATCTGCTTTTGAGCCCACATCTCTATCTTTTGAATGCAATGAAAGAAGGTTAAAACTTTGTATTCAGAATGAAACGTAGTTATTTCAGCAAAATCTCCCTGACAGGGAATGAAATTCATATGTGTGAACTGAGTTTCCCTCACAAACTCTTCCTCTATACCAGAGTCAATGTGAAGTCTCTTCGAGGGCCCCAAGCTGAACAGGAAAGTCAGATGAGCTGGTAATAATTCTTCCAGAACTGAGTAAAAGGATAATCTCTTTCTTACTCCCAAATATGAACAGTGAAGATTACATTGGTGTACTTTTATGTCCATACATGAGATTTCAGAGGAGATCTTATTGCAGACTTTCAGTACTTAAAGGGGGCCTGGAATAAAGATGAGGACAGACTTTTTAGTAGGGCCTGCTGCAATAGGACAAGGGGTAATGGTTTTAAACTAAAAGAGGGTAGATATAAGGAAGAAAATTTTTATGATGAGGATAGCAAAACACTGGAACAGAGAAACGGTAGATGCTCCCTCCCTGGAAACATTTAAGGTCAGATTGGATGCTCCTCTGAGCAACCTGATATAGTTGAAGATGTCCCTGTTCATGGCAGGGGCGTTGGAACTAGGCAAGTTTTAAGATCTCTTCCAACCCAAACCATTCTGTGATTCTATGATTTCCTTATAAAAGCTTTTAGTTCACAAGGCACTACTTAACAATTTAAGTTAAGTTAATTTCCATACATATGGAATCATATTGAATCATTTAAATCATATTAAAAAAAGAGTCAGTGACTACCAAAACCTGACTTTGGGCTTACTGATCCAACTTTGACAAATTTTAAAACCAAATTAGATATCTGACTACCTTGCAAAAATAAACACACTTGGTAAAGTCTGTTCTCACTTCACATTTACAAGATTTTAAAATGCTATGTTTGCTTATTTTTATATAATGTTTTGTAATTCAATAGGGCACTAATGTTTTAATAGGCCAATTTCACAGAATCACAGAATATGCTGTGTTGGAAGGGACCCACAAGGTTTATCGAGTCCAACCCTTAGCCCCACACAGGACCATCCCCAAGAGTCACACCATGTGCCCTAGAGTCTTGTCCAAATGCTTCCTGAACTCAGACAGGCTTGGCGCAGTGAGCACTTCCCTGGGGATCCTGTTCCAAGGGCCTGTTCACCCAGCCACCCTCTGGGTGAAGAAGCCTTTTCTAATACCCAACCTAAACCTCCCCTGAAAAAACTTCAAGCCATTTCTTCACATCCTGTCACTGGTCACCACAGAGAAGAGATCAGTGCCTGCCCCTGAGGTGACTGCCTTGAGGTCTCTCCTCACTCTCCTCTTCTCCAGGCTAAACAGACCAAGTGACCTCAGCCTCTCCTCACATGGCTTCCCCTCAAGGCCCTTCACCATCTGCGTTGCCCCCCTTTGGACATTGTCTAAGAGCTCATAATCTTTCTTACATTGCAATGCCCAAAATCGCACACGATATTCAAGGTGGGGCTGCCCCAGTGCAGAGCAGAGTGGGACAATCCTCTCCCTTGACGGGCTGGCGATGCTTTGCCTGATGCCCCCCAGGACACGGTTGGCCCTCCTGGCTGCCAGGGCACTGCTGACTCATATTCAACTTGCTGTCGACTAGGATCCCCAGGTTCCTCTTCTTGGCATTGCTTTCTAGCATCTCATTCCCCAGTCTGTATGTACATCTAGAGTTACCCCATTCCAGGTGCAGAAGTCAGCACTTTCCCTCGTTGAACTTCATATGGTTGGTGGTTGCCCAGTCCTCTGATTTGTCGAGGTCTCTCTGCAGGGCCTCCCTGCCTGCAAGGGAGTCAACAGATGCTTCCAGTTTTGTGTCATCTGTAAACTTGCTTAGTATTCCCTCCAGTCCTGCATATAAGTTGTTTATGAAGATTTTGAAGAGCACAGGGCCCAAGATGGAGCCCTGCAGAAACCCACTGGAGACAAGTCACCCATCTGATGTTTCCTCATCCACTATTACTGTCTATGCTCGACACATGAGCCAATTGCTCACCCACCACATGACGTGTCTATCCAGCTGTGTGCTGGACACTTTGTCCAGAAGGATACTGTCAGAGACAGTATCAAAAGCTTTACTGAAATACAAAAAGATTAAATGAACTGGCTTCCCCTGATCAACTACGAGGGTTACCTTGTCATAGAAGGAAATCAGGTTTGATAAGCAGGACTTTCCTCATATGAAGCTGTGCTGGCTGTGACCAGTGGTTGTGTTGTCCTTCAGGTGTTTTTCAATACCTCCCAGAGTAATCTTCTCCATAACTTTATCAAGCACTGAAGTGAGACTGACAGGCCTGTAGTTTCCTTGGTTCTCCTTCTTGCCCTTCTTGAAAATTGGGACAATGTTCACCAGCTTCCACTCAGCTGGGACCTCTCCAGATTCCCAAGACCACTCAAAATCACCAAGAGATGAGTCCTATCAGGCCGCATAGACTTGTGGGTATCCAGCTGGAGCAGCAGATCCCACACAATTTCGGGGTTCACAGGAGTTGATCATTCTCGCAGTCGTGGTCCTCAAGCTCAGGGCACTAAGATCCCCTTGGTCTGTCACCCGTGTTGAAGACAGAGGCAAAAGAAAGCATTAAACACCTCTGCCTTGTCTCTGTCCCTGTTTATGAGGTGACCATTCTCACCCTGTAACGGGCCAATGATATTTCTATACTGCCTGTTGTCATTAATATATTTGAAAAAACTCTTTTTATTGCCCCTCATATTTCTGGCCAGCTTCAACTCTAGCTGAGCTTTGGCTACACGAATTTTCTCCCTACAGCAGCAAGCAGCATCTCTGAATTTTTCCTATGTCACTTGACCTTGATTCTACTGGGCAAACGCCTTCCTTTTTTGCCTTATTTCCAAGAGAAGATCCCTTCTCAGACAAGCTGGCCTTCTGCCTTGCCTGCTTGACTTCCAGCATTTGGTAATTGCCTGCTCCTGTGCCTTTAGGAGGTGGTGTTTGAAAAGTGACCAGCACTGATGGACCCCAGCATTTTCTCAGAGGACCTTACTAATTCCCTGAGCAGCCTGAAGTCTGCTCTCATGTCCAGAGTCGAGGTTTTGTTGGCACTTTTCCTCCTGTCAACAGAGATTTTAAACTCAATCCCTTCATGGTCTCTGTGGCCAAGACAGCCCCCAGTCTCCACTTTGCTCACGAGATCCACTCTGTTGACAAGCAGCAGATCAAAGAGGGCATCTTTCTTAGTCAGCACCCTTAGGACCTGTGCCATAAAGTTGTCATCCAGGTTTTTTAGGAATCTTCTGGGCTGGGTTGTATCAGCTGCTTGATGCTCCCAGTTGAAGTCCCCCATAAGGACAAGAGCAGTTGACTTGGAAGTGTCCCTCAGTTCCTCAAAGAATAATTTGTTGCCATCATTGTCCTGCCGGGTAAGTCAATAGCAGACTCCCACAATGACATCCACATTATTTGTTCTCCCCTTGATTCTTACTTGGAGGCTCTCAACTGTGCCATTGCCAACTATGAGCTCCATACATTCTAATCCTTCTATTACATACCCCTTCACCTCTTCTGCCCTGCCCATCCCTCCTGAGGTGCCTGCAACCATCCAACAGGGCACTCCAGTCACAGGATTCATCCCACCAGGTTTCAGTTACGCCAGTGATATCAAATGTCTGGGACTGGACCAAAGCTTTGAGCTCCTCTCTTTTGTTCCTCATGCTGCATGCATTGCTGTAGAAACATTTCAGGTGTGTTACAAGTCTACAGACAGGAAAGCAACACATGAAGAATCTCTAAAAATTGACAAAGCAGATGAGAACAGTCCATCTGATCCAGACAAATCCCCTCAAAAAAAACAGGGGAGGGCAATTCAGCATTTAAAGCCTACAAAACCACAAGTGAAAGAATTAGCTAATGAGATTTTGCTAGATTTGGGCATAAAAAAGCACTATCCACTCAACCCAGAGTAACTGGTGTTTAGGCATTATAAAATTCATATCATGCTTCCCAGAAACATGCCTGAAGGCATCTACAACAGTTATGAGCCTCTATGGTAGAAATATTTTAAAGAAGAAAAATAGTGGTACATGTCATGACTAGCTTATAGAGTAAGATTTATAATTAAAACAATTTTAAAGGTAGGAAAATAGAAAATCGAGAGAAAAACAACTAGAGGAAAGAAATACCCCCAAAAAAAGACAAAGGTACTTCCTAAATTATCCTTTCCTTAAGCAATGCATATAGTTTTAAATTCAGGTCCACCACAACCGTATTCCTATGACCATTATCACCCTAACACCACACTCTACCTGAACACCAGCATCAAAAATGTAAATATTTGATAGAGCTTTTTACCATGTTCCTACTCAGTTTACGTTCTATTAGTGTATCAGCCTCAGCAACCTTTAAATAAACTCATTTATTTCCCATCTTTTTTTTTGTCCATAAGACATATCCCGCCTGTCTTCCCACCCCATACTCCCACCAAGCTTCAAACATCTCTTCCTTTCAGTCAAGTTCCTCTGAAATTGCCACCTCTCCCACAGCATGTACAAAACTACTAATTTGCAGATTAACATTAAAAATCCTGTGATTTCCTGTTTGCCTCCTAAGTTTGACACACTTCTGGGGAGAGATAACCTCTACATTTGCATTTATACTAAGTAGAATATTAGAACCAAACCAGTAACAGGCGACTCTA